TTTGTTCGTTCTGTCCCTTGTAGCCACCCTGCAGCACGGTACCGTTCAGCGTCTTCGGCTCGATGCCCTTCTCCACCCAATCAATGATGACGGCCATATTGGTCTGAGGGAATGGTCCGTTGGGCTGTAACGAGTTCGTGTTGCAGTGCGCCGCACCAGGGACCAGGAACAAGCGGTACCAATCGTCAAGCTGCGCCACGCCCTCCGTGTAGGAGAGATTCGAATACATTATCGATCGGACAGACTCGTAGTAGCGCACGGATGACGCAGTGGGAATACTGTTGTCGGATTCTCCATGGTAGTGCAGAATCTTCCCTCCCGCAGCCTTGTAGGGCGTTAGATCTGGCCATGTGGTCTGAAGCGAATCTTGGTAGCGTTGCAGGCCTTCAGTAATGTAGTTCACCAGGGTGTCGTATGTGTAGCCATCAAGATCCGGTACGTTGGACGCATTGAGGAGATTGAGGTAACGCTCAACCCATTCACCACCCAGGCCGCTGATATACAGACCCCAAGAGCCATTGTTATATTGTGTCTGAGCATCGGCGAATGTTGCAGCTGGCTGGTAGGAAAAGTATGCTTGGCGGCCTTGGCTGTCATGCAAGCCGTCCAAGATCAGCTGTGCCACTTCGATACCTTGTACCGTCACGGTCCCGTTCTGTGCGGGTGCACTGGGACTAGGCGGAAAGCCACCACCCGACTGTGCAGCACACTGATATGGCTTCCCTAAGCTTGAACTGATGTTGTAGTGTAGAGCACAGAGATCGGTACGAGATACCACCCCATCAACCTTGCCGTCCAGCGGATCACAAGCTGCGAGAGTGTCGTTGACGATCTTTTGAAGCTCGCATGGGGGTGGATAGTACCCGACAGTTTGCTCCACTACGTTGGAGTACAGATGCTGAACTTGTTGGTGGGCATACCGAAGCGCTGGTGCTCCGATGATTGCGCCGTCGAACTGGTCAGCGAAACGTTGGACCTGGCTGAAGCCTTCGCGCCCACCCTCGGAACAGCCTTGGTAGTACGAGTACAGTTTGTCGCAGGTCATGTTGAAGAAGTTCTTGGTCAGACCTTGCCCAATTACTGTGTTTTCATGTATGGCCTGATAGCCCATCATGTACACCGATGGCCAATTTATGGTGCCATTGGCGAGAAGGAACACAGCATCCCATTGGGTATTGAAACTCCCAAATCCACCATCGGTCAATCCTGCCGCAGCACCGTAGATGATGCCTCCAGGTAAAGACTGACTTCCCGAATTGATGGCGAGACCACCGCCTCCAGTAGCGAGATAGCGGTTTTTGAAGCTGGAAGGTGCAGGAAGCCAGTATTGAACAAGAACCTTGTCGTTCAATCCGTTGTGAGAGTATGCGAAGGTCACATTGCAATAGGCAAAAGTAGCGTCAGGATACATCACCGAGCCATGGACGCTGGCATTCGTGACTGGGGATGCAGTTACGGACGACTTGTCAATAGTGACGCCTAGAGGTAAGTTGCTGGTGGGCAGTGATGCCACGGCGTAAGAACTGGTGCAGACATCATTGAGCGAAACTGCTATGACAGTGTTGAGGAATGCTGCACTTGCAGCCAATGTATGGAACAAACGCATGGTCGCCGTATTGATAGAGAGCAGAGAATGGGCGATGAACGACCTACCGATACCAGATCTTTATATTTATATTTGAACCTCATCTGATTAAATTGTGTCTCGCTTAAATGCTTATCCTTTGTCTGTGTGACGTACTCCCTCCTGGTATGCACCGAACTTTGCCATCGAGGTCTTTCGGAGCGACTACGTTATGGACAGAGTGAAAGTTGATTAGAGTTACCCCGCCCTGGTCAAGCGATGTCGGGGGTCAAGCGTCCATCTAGCCGAGCTCTCGCTTGCTGCCAGGACGCGCGTTCTGATTTCTTCGGAGTGTGGGAGCGGCAGGACGGTCACTTACCATGATGAAGGGATCTTCAATGATTCGTATGACAAGGGAAAAAAAAAATGCACAGTTGGACCTGTTAGGATGGAGAGCAGAGGTAGACGCGGAAAAGTCTTTAGAATCTACAATGAGTAAGCATTGGGTCACGTGCGTACCACATCTATCATGGTAACAAAGAATGAATTGTGACAGACCAATGTCCTCTGTATCACGAAAATCTGACTGTAAATTTTGTCAAGGACCATAATCATCTCGTTATTGAAGTGGTGGCAAGCAGGTAAGGTTGGCAACCTTGCGTCCTGGTTGTCAAGAGGGAATTGAGTTCAGCCACCCAGACTGGCGGGCGTCGTCGGTCAGCCTGCGCAGTCCTTTCACTTTCATCACAACACTCGCCGGCGCCATGATCCGTTCTTTCACCGGCATCAAGCTGGTGCTTCTTGACATCGGTATGTAAGCAATGGACAAGTATTGGTGGGACGCCATCTCATTTCATGCCCGGTATTGACGCTTGTAAGAGGGGACCATATGCTCTATATCATTTGTCAAGGATGTCCTGGTAGGTCTTCATACATTGTCCGTCACATCATCACCTGCTTTCGCTGCCGGAAATCCAGTCACTAGCGCTGTACTAAAAATGACGTACCAGTTTCCATATGCCCTCGAAGCGCTGCCAAAAGTGCTCGCCGAAAAGTGGGACGACGAGGATTTCAAGCAATACCGAGATCAGTTCCCGGAGGAAGTAAAGGTATCTCCAGAGGCGCTCCAAGCCCATGTCGAGGATCTCACGAAGCGCGATGTCAAAGTAGCGTACCTCAAAAACCTCCAAGGTCAGACTCTCGGCTACTTTCCCCAACCATATAACAGACTAATGGTCAGTAAGGCTATCTGTGGCAATCTGGTTACGAGAACAAAGCGTACGCCACATCCTTGTTTCCGGATGTTGAGCCGCAGCTCCAACACTGGCGCGATTCATCACTCTCTCTGGCGATCTTTTCCTCCGGAAGTGTCTTTGCACAGAAGCTGCTTTTCAAGCATGTCAAGCGACTCGACTCGGACTCCAACGAGTCTCATGACCTTACCGGACTCATCACCGACTGGTTCGACACTGTCAACGCCGGCCCAAAAACGGAGGCTTCCAGTTACCAGAAAATCGCTGATGCTCTGAGCACTGCCCCAAAGGACATTTTGTTTCTCAGCGACAATGTCAAGGAGGTCCGGGCGGCGGACGAGGCGGGCATGAGTGCACTCGTCGTCGACCGGCCAGGCAATGCACCACTCACTGATGCTAACCAGGACGAATTCAATGTGGTCACGTCGCTTGCTCATATCAAGATCAAAGCCGGAGAACCCGTAGACGGCTCCGCTACCGCGAAGAGGCACACCAGCACAGCAAACGGTACGTCAGAGACGAGCGAAATACCGCATAGCGAGCCAGAAATCAGTCATCAGGATAGAAACGAGGGGTCTAAGAAGCGTGCTGCAGAGGACCAGCCGGAGGCAGCTTCTGAAAAGGGCACTAAAGCTGCAAAAATTGAAGGAGAAGTTGTAGATACTGTGAGCGAAGAATAATAGCGAATTGCAATGTGATCAGCGCTTCCATATCCAGCGTTATTGTTCTCGGAATTCTTCACACAATCTAACGGAGTGGTTTGTACTTCTCACTTGCCTGGTTAGCATGAATTTCAGTCATAAACACCTGCCTACTAAACTAGCATGTTCTATATTGGAATTTTTGATACGCTCCATGCCTACTTTCTCTAGCATGTTAAGTGCCTAGGTATCTAATACCGTCTGTGCTGGTCAGATCAGGGAGCTGAGTGTTCGCTTCTGTAAGGTCCTGTACGCCCACTTACTCGCTTACCCATCTGCCAGCTTTCTGCCCACCTCTCTGCCTGCCCTGGTGCCCCGCTACTCATGGGGCATTTAATGTGGCCGTTCGCGCAGGCATCTACCGCCCACCGAGCCCCTATACTCGTGGGACATTCAGCATGGCTATCGGTGCAGGTATCTGCCGCCTCTGGTGCCCCGCTACTCATGGGGCATTTAATGTGGCCGTTCGCGCAGGCATCTACCGCCCACCGAGCCCCTATACTCGTGGGACATTCAGCATGGCTATCGGTGCAGGTATCTGCCGCCTCTGGTGCCCCGCTATTCGTGGGGCATTCAGTGTGGCCGTTCATGCAGGTATCTGCTGCCCACAGAGCCCCCATACTCGTAGGGCGCTTAGCATGGCTATAAGTGCAGGTATCTACCGCCCTTGGTGTCTTACTACTTATGGGGCATTCAGTGTGGCCGTTCGTGCAAGTATTTGCCGCCCACAGTGCCCCCATACTCGGGGGGCGCTCAGCACGGCTATCAGTGCAGGTATCTGCCCTCTACGGAGCCCCGCTATTCGTGGGGCACTCAATATGGCTATTCGTGCAAATTTTTGCTTTCTATAGTGTCCTGCAACTTACAAAGCATTGAACATAATGGTTCATGTATCTGTTGGTATGGCTGTTCATACGGCACTTGAGACGACTCTTCGCATAGCAAAGAGTGTATCTATACCTGCGTCTATTTGCTCTAATAAACGCTCTGGCGCCCATAGGGCATTCAGCAAGGCTGCTTGCATTGCTATCCACACGGCGAAGTGGATGTTCGTGACGCCCAGTGACCCAGCCTGTGGCCTGCCCCGCCACTCACCGGGTACCTTGCAATGCTATTCGTATGAAGTGTCATGCAGCAAACTCCATACCTATGTGCCTGACTCGATGATCCCGTCACCATTTCGCCATTCGTGTGACATCTTGCACGTCTTCTTAGAAAATTCTTTGTCCAATAAATGATACCATGTATGCCCAGCGCTAGATTCTAAGCTTCAGATTCAATTTTTTTTTTTTTAATGTTCATAGCAACAAGATTGACGGAGATGTCCATTGTAACAAGCTCGTGAAGCCATCTTTGTTGTGTTGGGGTGCCGCGACACACGCTTGCAGTACGAGCAAACGCAGTCACTCCCTGGGTTGAACCGGTGAAATCTATGGAAATTATGATATATCATATTTACTCCGAGCATATCCAACAATCAAAGGCCTTATGGTCTAGCGGTATGATTCTCGCTTTGGGTTCATTGCCATAAATTGCGAGAGGTCCCCGGTTCAATCCCGGGTGAGGCCCTTTGTTTTTGTCGTTTTTTTGGGCCCACTCTGCTCCACTTGCCTGGAAATCACTTGTTGGATTGCTTGTATCTAGCAAACCATTTTGTCATATGCCGAACAAAAACGTGTTGCAAAGATGTTCTTACAGCGGATATCTGGTGAGAGATGGATGTTCAAGGCTGGAAACTTCCTTGTGGTTGCCGGCTTCCTAAAGCAACCAAGCCAATCATTCTAATCACATAATCCTACTACTGGCAGCAAGCTGCACGCTGCATTACAGACTATATGCTTCAGAGATCGCACCGATTCTATCTGAGCAGAAAACATCCGATATCCGAGACCAATTCATATATGGCACGGTGCTGCGCGTGGTCAAGAAACATGAACCCAGGGGAGCCAAGGCCTCTGTGCTTGGCAGAGTAGAGCAGGCGATCACTTACTTACCAGGACTGATGCTTGAGACTGTGCGCCGAGATGTTTCCGCAGGGTTCCAACCTTTTTTTGTTTAAAAAACTGAATAAGTGGGTAGTGTACCATACATTTGCTATCCAAACACACGTCGAAGACGCGTAAGAAAGACAGTGGGAAGGGCGGGCGCGTAGAGGCCGATGACTTTTTTGGGCCAAATTTGGCCCGCAGCAACCCTAGGCCGTTAGAGGCAAGCTTTGACCAGCAGCCAAATGACTACGCCAATCACTCGATACAAACAAAGCCATCGCCATCATCACATCATAGACTCGACTCGTCAACACCGCATTGGAGTCGCCGCCACGGCTCTGGGTTTACAATCAGCATAGGCAACACTCTACGCAACCTCGACTCTCGCCAAGCATCTTGCGACCATGCTTCATACGTCTATGGTTGTCAAGTGAACGCTCTGCTATGGCCCTGCATTGACAGTCTCTCAACCCCGCGACACATATTTCTCGACAGTCCTTCTTTTGGAGACTGCGCGGTCGAGACATGTCATCTGGCAGGAGTAATGGCACACCACAGGGACGCATCACTCGAAACGCAGCACCCTCGAGCCGCAATACTGCTTCACCGCTTACTCCCCGCCTCGCGGCCAACGCAAACAACACAGGCAGGAGGGAGCCGTCGCCCCGAAGACCTTTCGTAAAGGCGGCGAGCGTTTCAAGGAGCACGTCACCAGAAAAGAGTATAGTCACACCTGCCAAAGCTCTCACCAGCGATAATGCTACTCCGCGATCCTCAACGAGGGGCAAGATAAAGCCGGGAAGTGCCACATCGACACCAGGCACCAGCACGCCTGGAAGTGTAAAAGCTGGGAATGCATATGTGTCTCCTCGGGTCGTTGGATTCAACACCCCGTCTGAGCGAGATGCAGTCCGACCCCGGATTGCTACATCGGTTCTCGGCATACAGCAGAGCAGAGAGGGCTCGGCCCTGTCCCCACTAGCCCAAGATCCTCTGATGGCATCGGCGCATGGTCCTGAGGATATGACGATCAAGAATCACAGTTCCATGTTCTTCCATGCCGATGAAGCACGGTCAAGAGAGAAGCCGACTACAGCGCCAGCCCCAACAAAGCGGAATAACACAGCGTTCTTCTATGCAAATGGCCAACGAGAGCAACCCTCTCAACCGCGAGTGGTACGGCCAGCGTCGCCGGCAATGTCCATGTTCATAGACAAGAGGCCCGCTGCTCCGAACGCATCCCGAGGAGGGACCTCCGAACTCGGATTGAGTACCCGTCCAATGATCACGTCGCCAACCTTAAGTGCAATATCATCTGCACGATCACCATTTATGGCAAGTCCTGTGTCATTGAGTCCACCAATTCTATCGCCACCTCTTCATAAGATTGACTACTTGAATACACCTCACGCCACATTAAACCACTCAAAGATCAGACCTGAGAAGTCTTCCTATGACTCCCCATCACCACACACGCCCGGTTCGACCGGTCTCGGAGTAACATTACCCTCCGCGATCGAACCTACAATCGGACAGTCACCAAGTCGACATGTGAAGAGCTCGAGTATCTGTGCCATTTCGGTTGAAAGTCCAAGCGCTACAAGGAAGCGCTCCGCGACATGGACAGAAGCACACAGCCCAGCAAGTGCTAAGCCGGGCGTGACAGATGTTGCAGAGCGTTCGCAACCTCCATCTCCGACGACCCAAAGAACAATCACCACACCGGCTCTAACATCGCCGGCCATCAATGATGCATTACAAAGTCCCACCAAGGAACTAGTAGATTTTGCGGCAGATGCTAGACGCGAAAGAAAGGTGCTTGATCTGGAAATTTCAAATTCATCTCTATTAGCAATCAATCGATCGTTGGAACGGGAAATCAAGAAACACAAGGCCGAGTTGAAGCGTTACAGACGACTAAGCAGAGCAGGCCGCTTCTCCGTAGCCGCGGGAGATTCTTATAACGGCGATTACGACGCTGCTGATGGACTACCACATGTCGACGGAGCTTTTGTTGGAAGACCATCGAGCCCATTTCAGGAAGATGTATCAGACATGGAACTGTCTAACGAAGAGGAGTCATCGGAAGATGGCAGTTCACTTTCGCCCGGAGCTGAATCGTCGAAGGAGGAAAGACAGAGAGCCAAGGACGAGGCGCAATTGAGGAGCGATCTCCGCAAGCATCGAGAACTGCTTCTTGATACAGCACGTATGAACAGATCTCTGCAGCGGTGCTTGACCTGGACCGAAGATCTAATAAAAGATGGCAAGAAAGCACTCGATCACAGGATCCCTTCCTCAGAAATTCGGCTGGGCGGACGAGTCCTGCACGCGGATGATTCGGACGATGAAGTTGCAACGGAGCACGACGTCGACCAATCAATCGTTGAGCCAATTGAAAGCGAGCAGACAATGGATGACGTTGGTGACGACCTTGCGGGCATTGAGGCGTTCCTCGGAATCTCCGGTGGTCAGTGGCAGGTTCAAAATCCGGAACGGCTGAGTATAGAAAGCGAGGGCACAAATAGGGACAGTGGGGTAGAGATGGGGAAGCAAAACCCGCACCGTACGCTCGATCGAGCCTCTGCGAGGGCGGCATAGGCGGCAATGCACAGCACTTTAGCGATTTGGCATAGATTGGGGCCCACAGCCAGGGTTTTGGGGGTTTGGGGGATCATTGGGCGTTCTGGGATGGGCTGCTTGCATTTCCGTATGTGATACCCACCACTTTTTCATATGTCATATCTGGCGACTGCTTCCTTGCATGTTTGTTACTCAGCATAAATAAAGGCTGCCGCTTATTTTATCCTCATACTCTCGAAAGTTTTGGAAAGACGTGCATTATTGTGCGTCTGAACATGCTGATTTATCCGGCCGTTAGAATGAAATCTGTCATGCAGAACCCTCTTTATCTATCAACCCCAAGAAGTGCCAGGTAACGAACGGCGTACCGGCCCACTTACTTCTTCCAGGATGCGGGCCAGAGCTACACTCTTTGGCACTCGACTTTGTCTAGACAATACTCAATTGGGGAAGAGCATTCCGCAGACTGCATAGTCGTCTTCCTCGCGTAGTCAAAGCAGCGATTTTGCTCCCACAGAGTCATTCTGCCCAATCGATGAGAAGCAGACCAACGAGTGATGAAAACTAGGGCTGGCTGCACCAACACCCGGGTACCCGGCTACAATCGAACGGCGGCGGTAAGCTCGATTCTACCTCCAGTTCACCATGCAGTATTATAGCCCGTTGCGAACCTATACTGGGGTACGAGTCAAAGTCACAATTGCTCTAGTCTGAATCAGGACCCTTACAGCATCGCAAATACACCGTTCTGCTCAGCGATACTACCCTCCAGCATCGTAAGTTAGGATAAGTCTTCGCCTCATTGTATATCTCTTCTGCTCCCTGATTGCCCAGACATATGCAAGTGACGACTTCCTCCCTTTCTATATACCTCCGACAGCACAATAGTTTGCCCTTCTCCTGTTGGTCGCCTCCGACATCCACAAACGCCACACTTCGATCTCGCCGTTGGATCGCAACGATATAACGTACGGTTCCAAACCCAGCGGCACCCCTGCCGACCTTCCGTAGAGAAGCACCGGACTGTGTTCCACCCCCGCCGTCAGCCAGACCCCCTCATAACCGCCATCCGGAAGCAGCAGGTTCGCAACCCTAGCTGCCTATCAAACGGTGCCGCCGTCACACAGATGCGCTGAACCACACATAAGCCTCTTCCTTTCTCCTCTTCTTCCTTTCTAGAGCAGGCCGCGAGCTTCTTCCTCAACACAAATTTCTAGCATGTCGACGACGATGACGACGGCAACGGGTGCGATGACCGGCGTCAGCTCGGCGAGTATGGTCAACAATCCAGCCATTAGTGACTGGATCGCACGGATCACACAGAGCGTGATCGCGCTGATGGTGGTGTGCACTGCGCTGACGGGGATGCGCATGTTTGCGAGAGCAAAGCTGCTGAATCAGTTCGGCTGCGATGACGGAGCTATGCTCGTTGCTTGGGTAAGCATTCCACGGAGATTGGGAAAACGAGGGAGAAGCTGATCTGAGCCGTCATAGGCGTTGTTCATCACCCTCGGAGGATTGACGATTGCTGAGATGGGGCTCGAGAAGGACTACTTTCACGGCGAGGTGCTGGACGTGTCGCCGGCAAGCTTCGTGAGTCCTCCATTGGCAGCGCCTCACGATGCGGAAGAAGTCTAATGCTCCGTGATAGACACACATGGCTCAGTGGTGGAATGCCCTCTACACTGCCAGCATGATCGGCAGCAAGTGCTCCTTCGGCTTCTTCCTGCTACGCACAACGAACCCCAAGAACAAATGGCAGCGAGCCACGACCATTGGAGCGTTCAGCGCCTGTGCTCTGCTCGGCGTCGCCTACTTCTGCATGAGCTTCACGTGCGCCGTCACCTACGACTCCGCCGAACAGTGCAGCTTGACGAACGCTTTCCGCTGGACATCAGTGGCGTGGTCAGCACTCGCCATCGTCGTCGACTTGGCCTACGGCGTCGTCTTCGTCTGGCTAATTGCTGTGTGCGATCTGAACAGGCGAGCGAAGATTTT